GGGAAGCTGGTAGAAGAGAGGGAACAAGGAGGATGGAGGGGGAAGCGGACCATCAACGGAATACCCAGGATCCGCAGTACGCGGCCAGGAGTTCGTAAGAAGAAACCATGGACTGCAAAGAACTGACTCTTGCAAAACAAACTCGTATTATTGATATAGGACGAACATAATCGTGCCCCGGGCTGGTCGAAGAAAAATGGGACCCCTTCTGGGGCGAGGTAAGATGCATCTCCACCTTCCCGCGTGCTGCGAAAAAGAAGCAAGACCGTTTCTTGAAGCATAGAATGGGAATGAATCTGCCGACCGCCGAGGGGAAGTCTAAGGGCGCGCAGCTGTCATGCGCAACGCAAGGTCGTACCAAAACGTTTGGGTACGCATCCTGTAATCATTTCTGGTCGTTGTACTGCGGGCGGGGGTCTAAATTGTTCACCCGAGAATTCTCCGACTTGTGCCAGGCCCCCGTGAGTGCAAGCACCGATTGGGGAAGTTGGGGCCCAGTTCGAGGATATACGGCGGCGGGCGTCTATCAACGATGCGGGTGCGCCCCCAAAAGCCCCCCTTGGAGTGCATCTCCGAGCCCCCCTTCCCTTTCTGAGCAACCAATGCTTTGGGGGTGGGGCTCGGGGCCTGGGGGCGAGATCACACCGGCCACGCGGAGTAGCACGAGATGGCCAACTCCGGACACCCTACACCTAAACATCGGCATGTATCGCTCTTACCTTCGCCGCCTTCCTCTGGCGGACCCGCCGCCGTTGTTGGGGAAACCAAAAGATACCGATACTGCTACTACTCGGACCTCTTCTGGGGTGCGTTCTGACCAGAATTCCGAAGCGAATCCAGCGGTGGCGACGAGATCCCCCCAGGAAGCACAAAAAGGCCCATCTGGGGTAGTCGTTCTTGTCGTCGTCTTCGTCGTCGTCGTCGCCGTGGGACATATCCAAAATAGAATTACTGACATGGTCTGCGCTGATGTTTTGTGGATGGCAATCCGCCGTCCGCTACACCAACGCAAAAGACCGGAAAAAATGAGGGCAAAATCGATGGTCGATGTCTATTTTGACGTGCATTAGTGGGTGATGGACCGCTCCCCCGGCGCACAGGGGAAAACGAGGGGCTGGTCGAGGGTGTTGGCTGCCAGGCCCCCGTGAGTGCAAGCACCGATTGGGGAAGTTGGGGCCCAGTTCGAGGATATACGGCGGCGGGCGTCTATCAACGATGCGGGTGCGCCCCCAAAAGCCCCCCTGGGAGTGCATCTCCGAGCCCCCCTTTCCTTTCTGAGCAACCAATGCTTTGGGGGTGGGGCTCGGGGCCCGGGGGCGAGACAACACCGGCCACGCGGAACAGCACGAGATGGCCAACTCCGGACACCCTACACCTAAACATCGGCATGTATCGCTCTTACCTTCGCCGCCTTCCTCTGGCGGACCCGCCGCCGTTGTTGGGGAAACCAAAAGATACCGATACTGCTACTACTCGGACCTCTTCTGGGGTGCGTTCTGACCAGAATTCCGAAGCGAATCCAGCGGTGGCGACGAGATCCCCCCAGGAAGCACAAAAAGGCCCATCTGGGGTAGTCGTTCTTGTCGTCGTCTTCGTCGTCGTCGTCGCCGTGAGACATATCCAGAATAGAATTGCTGACATGGTCTGCGCTGATGTTTTGTGGATGGCAATCCGCCGTCCGCTACACCAACGCAAAAGACCGGAAAAAATGAGGGCAAAATCGATGGTCGATGTCTATTTTGACGTGCATTAGTGGGTGATGGACCGCTCCCCCGGCGCACAGGGGAAAACGAGGGGCTGGTCGAGGGTGTTGACTGCCTTTCCCTCCTCCGAGCTCTGTCTCCGCCGGCTTCCGCCAGCCTGCCGACGGCCCCCCCGAGGCATATCCGACGCTGCACCCTCTGGCCCGCAGCGGGGGGAACGCCGGAGGGTCCACCCAGCTGCACGCCGAGGGCGAGACGCGCGGAAGGCGAGGGGCCGACTCTTGGCGGCGCGCGCAGCGAGGTATAGGGGGGAGGGGGGGAAGGCTTCTCAAGAGCACCCCTCGGGGGTCCGCTGACTCGGGCCATTCCAGGCCCAGGTCAAGCAGGCCCTGCAGCATCCTGCAAAACATCCTGCAAGAGCCTGCGCCCAAGCCCGGGTCAACGCGCAGGATCCTGAAGGCCCCGGCCTTACATCCGTAGACAAGGCCAGCGCCTTCTAAGAAGCAGGGGTGCTTCTAAGAAGCCTTCTCCCGTCCCCCTGCCCCCCTCTGCGCGTGGCCGAGATTCTGGAGCGCGCAGGAGGCGGCCCCTGGGAGGTCTTCGTCAGAACGATTAGGGGCTAGAGTAATCTGAGGTCGGGCACGTCCTCAAACAAAGATTAAACCATAGTGGAAACATCTTCCCCAGACTATCTTCTGTCTGTGCTTGCATATCCCTCCCGTAGAGAGACATGCCCGACTTAAGATGAATCCGACCAGGCGCGTAAAACATACATTGGCCTTCTGTTGTTCCCATCGCACTGAAGGACCAAATCCCAGAAATAATTTCGAACACCCGGAAAAGTATCGAAACAATGTCTGTCCGACACGCCAACGAAGTGTCGCCTCCAAGGACCCGGCACGTGAAACCCTTGCAATCGTGGTACTCTCCTGGCGCTCGAAATTCTTCCTGGTCGTCAAAGCTAAAGTAGGTCGGACCATCATCAATAACCCTACAAGGCTCGTCTAACATACATTGACGGTGGTTGTTTTCGGCCCTTGTGCAGCCGGCGTGATTCCGATGCTGGCACGTAGCGTTTGGCCCACGCGCAACGTTGAAGAACGAATTCTCTGACAAGTGCCCGAATTACCGGGCGCTTCGATTTTGAACGGCAATTCAATGTAATTGTGATGCTTTTTTCCCAAGATGGCTCCGCTCGACACGCCATCCTTGCAACACGCAAGGGACAACGACGCCAGCGCGGCTCCATCCCCGCCCAGCTCAGTTGTGGCGAGGCCTGTAGGATCACAATCGGCTACGCGTAAGTGTGGCCCTACAACCCTCTTCAAAATTAACCTCAAACATGTCTGACGTGGTTGAACTGCTTGTCGGAAGATCCGGGGCCGCCCTCGCCCCGACATTGAAGTGGCGGCGTGTCGACGTTGCGGGGCGCGCCGAAATCGAAATCCGCCGATCCGGCGTGTGAGTTTCAAGGAGTCTCAGCTACAGCCTCGAGGCTGAGCCTCAGCCTTTGGGGGGGTTGCTGGGGTGGCTCTGCCGGGGAAGGGGGGAAGGGGGGGGGGGGTGCGAGTTTCCGGCGGATGCGGGGTGACGGCCCAAGAGCCCCCCCAAGCGTCCCCAAGAAGACCCCAAAGAGGGACGAAAAGCGGAAAAAGCGGAGGCCCCAAGAGCTCCCAAGAGGGCCCCCAAAAGCCTCCAAGAAGCGCCCCAGGACGCCCTGACAGGCCCCTAAGATGCCCCCAAAAACGCCCCCAGACGCCTAAGAGCTCCCAAAAGGGCCCCCCAAAAGTCTCCGAGAAGCCTCCCAGGACGCCCTGACAGGCCCCCATGTCTGCGGCGCGGGTTGGGTGGTGCGACTGCGTGTGTGCGTTTGAGCGCGCGCCCATAATGTCTGCGTCTGGAGAAGAACCCCGAGCGACCCGGATCGGCGGCACTGGCCGAAGGCCACTACAATAACGTGCCAGCAACTTTTGAGGTTCATTTTTCGGGGAGACGTAAGACCTGGGTACGGGGGACTCGGAAATCCCCGACGAGGTCGTCAAAAAATGACGAGGCCGAGCCCGCATTTTGACGAGGCCTCCCGCTGCAGACATCCCACGAGACTCCTCCTCGTCAAAATCCGAGGCGCGGTCGTCAAAAAACGATGGCGAACCCGAGTCCCGGCAAACCCGGGTCTTACGCTCCCCCGAGACGGGGGTAGCAGGCCCTGGGCAAGAGTGGCCTCTTGGTGCGCGACTTCCGGGGGCAGCATGGGGTGCCAGATCCGAGCGCGCAGGCCGCTCCCGAGCCACTGCCGGGGTGACCCCTGCGGGCCGCACCAGCGGCCGCTCGGGCGAAGGGCCGCTCTCACGCACGGGTGGCCGAGCAAGTCGCACGCGTGCCATGGCTCTTGTGCACGACTGGGGGGGGGAGGGGGAGGGGGAGGGGGAGGGGGAGGGGGAGGGGGAGGGGGAGGAGGAGGAGGGGAGGAGGAGGAGGAGGAGGAGGAGGAGGAGGAGGAGGAGGAGGAGGGAGGGGGAGGGAGAGGTAGAACGAGAGAGAGAGAGAGAGGAGGAAAAGGAGGAGGATAAGGAGGGGCAACAAGACTGGACGGCTGATGGTGGCGGGGAAAAAAAGAAGACACGGGAGACGGAGGACGAGGAGCGAAAATGGGGGAGGGGGGGGCCGAATCAAGCCCGAGTGGGCCGCACTCGGCGGGATTGTGCCGGAGCAGGCCACAGCGCCGATGCTGCATCCATAAGAACCTCCCGGGCACTGCACCCTTGTGGGGCAGAGGGAGGCCGGGAGCAGCAGCGGCGGCGGCGGGAGAGAAGGGCGGCGGACATGCCCGCGCCAGCGGGGCATGCCCGGTGTGGCAGGACCGCTTGCCAACCCGAAAGGGATTCCAGCGAAAAGGGGGTGGTGTAATAGATTATTGCTGCAATCGGTTTGTGGGGTTGCAACAGATCTGGGGTGTGCAATACACTCGGGTGCGCAAGTGTGGCTGGATTTTCGCGTGCTATACATTCGTTGCAATATACAACGCAATACAATTCTCCGGCGCCGTACACTTGCAATCCAGTTGCCCCAAACCGATTGCACCACCCCTTTTCAGCTGGGCCCCCTTGTGGGTCACGAGGAAGCGCGCGGGAAGGCCTCGCTCCTCCTCGGCAACCTGCGCTGCGCTGGGGGCGGCGAGGCTGCACTCGCTGCCCCCGACTGTGGGTCGGCACCGTGCTGAGGGACGCCCGCGGCCGCGCCGTGTCGCCGTCTGCCCGCGCGTCAAAAAAGCCCACGCCGGCGGGGCGGGGGGGGCTCCTCCGGGGAGTCGTGCAGGGGGTCCAGCACACACAGCGACTCCTGCGAGGCGCCCGCCACAGGCACCCCGGGGGCCCTTTTATCGGCTCCACGCGAGAGTGGCCCCGGGTGCGAGTGACCTCTGGTGCGCGGCGTTTTGGGGGCCGCGGGGGGGGGGGGGGGGCCAAACACAAGCGCGCGAGACGCCACTATCGCCTCGCGATCGGCGGTCGGGGGGCCCCAGTCGGCCCGCAGCAAAGGTAGGTCACTCCGGCGAAGGGTCCCTCTTGCGCGTCGCCGATGCGGGGCGCCCGCCACAGACATCCAAGGGCCCTTAGAGGGCCCCAGCAGGACCCTCGAAAACGACTCGGGATGAAAGGCCGCTCCGCCCGGGATGGGGTCCAGACCTCTGGGGGTCCACGTCGCGAAACTTCTGTGAAGTCGGGGGTCTGGGCCAGGCGACGCCTGCGTGGGCGGCGGAGGAGGAGCCCCATTGTTTTCCACGCGCGGCATCTATGAAGGGGCCCTGGGACACACAAATAAATACACACAAATGATAGGATTCCCTGTCTCTTTCCATATTTGGGGGGGTTCTGTCTTCCCCCCTACTTCCCATATTTTCCCATCTTCTCCTGGGAGTGGACGATAAATTGTGTCTGTGTGTTTTCTCCCCTCCTGAATCAACCTGACACTGCACCGCCAGCAACGCCGGAAAGGCCACACGCCATGCCATCCACGGCGACATGCCAACGGGAGAAGGCGGGAGCAAAGGCCGCGCCCCAGGCAGCTCTGGCGGGCCTCAGGAGGCCTCGCAAGCAGTCCCACTTAGACTCCACAGGCCCAGGGCGTGGAGGCCGACTTTTCAAAAGGGGCTCCGTTGTTCCTTAGGCTTGCATGCGTTATTCATCGTCCCATATACGTTTTTGATTGGTTATCGTTTCTTATGCGTCACTCCCTGGAGAAAAAAGGCTTCGTTCCTTATTTATCGTTCCTTAGGTCAGGCCGATGACAGTATCTGAAGATACCAAAAGGTACCCATACCACTACTCCACACGGACCTCTCCTGGGGTGCGTTCTGACCGGGATCTCGAGGCGAATCCAGCGGTGGCGACGAGGGCCTCCCGGGAGGCCCAAGAGGAGGGAAGGGTAGCGGTGTGGTCACCTTTTCCTCCTCTGCCTACCTGTGCGCAGCCCGAGGCCCCGTCATCATCCACAGCGGCAGGTCACAGGAAGGAGGGAGGGATGACCCAGACCTCTGGCGATCTCGTTGTTCTTCGCTCTCCGGCTGCTTGGGGGGGGGAGCAGAAGCATCCACACTCAGGACAAGCACCCCCACAAACCCAGACGTTCGGTGGCAATTCATGGGAGCATTCCATACCATCTTGTCGGCTCTTGCGAATCGACTCTGGTCGACGCTAAATCGACGCTAAATCGACGCTACATCGACGCTGATCGACGCTAACCGCCGCTGAATCGGCGCTATCTCATCGACTCCCAGACGCGAATCGACGCTACTCGACGCGAGAGACGGAAGTAAGCGGGTATACCAGGCTCCCATGATTTGCTGCCGAATCCGGCTGTTAGGAGGGGGGGACGGGAGCTTACCCTCATGATAAGCACCCCATACAAACCCAGACGTGCTTGCGTCGTGGCAACCTCACGACGGTCATTATTTGGCCGTCTTCTGAATACCGTCGGGGCATTGACCTAAGGAGCTCTAAATAACGAACGAGGCCTCTTTTATCCCATGAATTGAACTTCGATTTCCCATGGAAAATCTCCCGAAAACTTCTGGCTCCTTCTTCAGCGCCCCGATTGTACCTACCAGACCACCCCAACCCAGCCCGAAAACCCGAATTTCGGGTTGGGTGGGGGGGGGGTACGGGCTCTATATGTGTGTATATATATGTGTGTTTTTCAGTGTTCCCCGACGCCCCCCCCCCACTGGAAATGGATGGCAAATTGGGGCACTCGGACTGGGTTGCGGTGGCTTGGTGAGTGGTGAGCTTCGGGCTCTGGGGCCCCTCCCTGGACCCCAGGGCCGTCAAAAAGCGACTCCTGCCGCCGGCGATGCGATGCGATGAAAAACTGGCCCTTGGGAAATAGAGGCCCCCTGGATGGGGTCAGAGTAGATGGGGTCGGAGGATCGCGCCGCATCGGCGATACATCGGCGATGCATCGGCGATGCATCGGCGATGCATCGGCGATGCACCGGCGATGCATCAGCGACGTCGGCGTGAAGCAAATCGGGCTCCGTATCGAGCCGCATCGGCAATGCATCGGCGATGCGGCGCGATCCTCCGACCCCATCTTCTCCGACCCCATGTAGGAGACCTAGAGGAAAGGATCTGGACTTCCTGGGGACCCCGTATTGAAAAAATCAGTGCACCGCACGTCTGGGAGAACGACGCCTTTCAGAAGACGTGCCCACCAAGACTGCTCAGTCACCGGCCCAGGACGGTATTTCGACAGCTGTTGGCTCTGAGCGGGCCTTCAGAGGCATACGGAGGCCGAGCTCTCCTCCTGGTCGGGCTCTCGAAAGGCTGAGGGCTGCGTTCAGGTTAGGTGTGTTATGTGTGAATGGTTTGCAGAGGTTCCGCCCTATCAGCGCTTACTAGTGTCAATCCATGTCCCTATGAGCACCTATTAGCGACTATTAGCGCGTACTCGCGCTTACTAGCACCTACTGCGGCCGATTCGTGTCCGTCAGCGCCTATTCAGCGACCTCTCATAAGCAGTAGCCAGCGTCAATAGCCGGGGAGGACAACAACTCATGATTAAACTTGCTCTCACGAGTACGGCCGGACCTAGGACAGAAGAACATCCTTCAAGAACACGAGATCCTCCGCCAGTCCAAACTGAGGAGCCTTCGAGACTGCTCTCCCCCAGGCTGTACTAGAACATCCAACAAACACGCAGAACAGTAGGATACCCTCCCCGAGCCGACCTCGATCTTATACTAGAGGCCTCGTAGATGGGGTCCGAGTAGATGTGGTCGGGGGATCGCGCCGCATCGCCAATACATTGGCGGTGCATCGCCGATGGCTTGGCCCTGCATCGGCGACGTCGGCGATGCACCGGCGCCATCGGCGTGAAGAAAGCCGGGCCCCACATCGCCCATGCATCGATGATGCAGCGCGATCCTCCGACCCCCTCTATTCGGACCCCATCTGGTAGGCCTAGATTTAAGTCGGGCCTGTCCCCCTACAGGGGGATTTTCGACGACAAATAAGGAAATACCCCAAGCATAAGCAGAACATGATCCAAAAATAGTCTGGGGACTATTTGTTGCTTAGTATGGTTTTACCTTCTTGGGGTATGTTTGGGATATGTTTTATTTTTCGCCGATAATCCCCCTGTAGGGGGACACGCCCGACATAATCGGGGATCTTCTGACCCGGGTCAATCCAGACCCGGGTCAATCAGGCCTGCAAAATCCTACAAGATCCTGCACCCAAACCCGGGTCAATGCGAGGGACCCTGAAGGATCCTGCAGGATCCTGCACCCAAACCCGGGTCAATGCGACCCTGGCGCTGCAGGATCCTGCAGGATCCGGCGCCCGGGCTGACCCCCGTCTGCACTGACCCCCGTCTCGAGGCTCCCGACAGAAGCCCAGATGCACCCCGGCCCGGCCGCAGGCCTGGCCCTTCCGCAGCCGAGGGGGGGTCCCTGCAGGGCGAGGCCCGAGAACCAAGGCGAGGGTGGCAGAGGAAGCACGGCGTCGAGACGCCCGGGGGCCAGGGGGTCCGAAGACGAGCTGCCCCGATCTGACTACCTACCAGACCACCCCAACCCAACCCGAGGACCCGAACTTGACCCGAATTTCGGGGGGGGGGGGGGGGGGACGGGTACCATGTGTTTTTTTCATCGCTCCCCGACCCCCCCCCCACTGGAAATGGACGGCAAGTTGAGGCCTTCGGGCTGGGTTGGGGTGGTTTTGTGGGTGGTGACGATAGGCAGCACGCAGCACGGCGGGTGGCAGAGCAAGCAAGGCGTCGAGACGCCCGGGGGCCAGGGGGTCCGAAGACGAGCTGCCCCGATCTTGCCGTCGCTCGGACGTCCATTTCCCGTGCGTTTTTCGACTTCGCGCGTGTTGTTTTTTGCTCGATGGTCCAGGATGGTCCTCGATGGTCCTCGCTGAAGAAAAGTGCACACGTCCGAGCGATGCCAAGCGATAGGCAGCACGCAGCACGCAGCGTCCTGAGAGGCGGAGCTCCACACGCAGGCAGAGAGCGTTTAGGTCTGCCGCGATGCGTTTGCCAGAGCGTGGGCCACTGCGCTGAGCCAGCACGACGCCACGTGTCGGCACGGGCGCCTGAAGCACTGTGCGTGCTGCGCTCCAGAACGGGCGTCTCAAGGCAGCTAAGGTCAGGACCTTCGCGTCGCGCGCCATGGTTTGGGGGTACCACCGTGGTTTTCGGAGGAAAAACATACGCCTATCCCAAAGACAAGCGAACGTGGGGCCCAAGCCCCGGACCCCGAGTTCAGGGTTCGCGGCGGTCGACCAGGGGGGGGGAACAAGTCGTCTCGAAGAAGCGGCCACCTTTGGCAAACTCGGCCTGCGCGCGAGTCTGAGCTTTGAAATCGGGGACGCGGGGGGGAGGCGTAGCTGCCTTTACAGATTGTCTGTGATAGTTGCTTCTTTAGAAGACGCAAAGGGAGGGTTCGCGAATCAGCCCGCGTGGCTGGTTCTCCTGGCGCCTATCGGCTCCAGAAGCAGCCGCATCGAGGGAAAGTCCTGGCGACGGGACCGACGCCAGCTGCTCGCATCAAATTTCGCACCTGCTCAGATCTCGGTTTGCGATTGGCGTCTGATCGGCTTCGCGATCTATCTATATCATGAGCTCGGTGTGTGTGTGTGTGTGTCTACCGATCACTCTTTATCAACACAAATGAGTACAGACGTATGCATATACTAGATACATATATCTATACCATAAACGATCTCACTGTTCAATCGGTCCCACAATTGACCGGCTTCAGACCTACGTATGTATTGATGTCAGGGTCAATGTATCCATCAAATTCTCTATTTATCTACAAGTCTCACTGCCTGGTCATC